GGCCCCTGGAGTCCTCCTCCTTCTCTGAGTATTTCTTTTTTTCCTCCCAAATTTCTCCTTCAATATGTTCTCTCTGCCTGCCAGTCCCACCTATCCTTTCTCCTGGCTTGCTATTAGCTGTTCAGCTCTTTATTAGGCCATCAGGTGTTTCAGACAGGCACAGCAACACAAATTCACAGAGTTAAACAAATGCAACACAAACAAAAGTAACACACCTTAAAATAATATTCCCCAACAAAGACGCACATTTTTTCCTTTGGTGGGCCTGCAGAGTACCTTCCTGTACCAAAGATGCTAGCACATAGGAGTGAAGGTTCTATGCAGGTACCAGCTTTACTTCTCTGTGGTCAATGACTTTTGTAAGTGTTGTGTTTAGCAATAGGGCCAAGCCATCAGTTTGTAGAGAGCAACCTATAGTCTTGGAAACAACCTGGGTTGTTTGGGGACTCCCATGGGACCTCTTTGGTCATCAACTCCATTGGATGTAACCCACTTCTGGTACTGGAAGCTTCATTTGGTAATAAGAGATGTCCAGCTGGGACTTTTATTTAGCAATTTCATATAGATCCTCCTCATACGTGTATGTCTTTCAGGAAGCTTCTACTGTGTGGTGGTTTGAAAGAAAATGGCCCCAAAAGGAGTGACACTATTAGGAGATATGGCTTTGTTGAGTGTGACTTTGTTGGAGGAAATATGCCAGCATGGGTGTGGGCTTTGAGGTCTCCTTTGCTCAAGCTGTACTCAGTGGGGCACACAGTTCACTACTTGCTGCCTGTGGATCATGATATAGAACTCTCCGCTCCTTCTCAGCACCATGTCTGCCTGCACACCACCATGCTTCCCACCATAATGATAATGGACTAAACCTCAAAAACTCTAAGCCAGCCCCAGTTAAATGTTATTTTTTTTATAAGAGTTGCCGTGGTCATGGTGTTTCTTCACAATAATAGCAACTCTAACTAAGACATACTGTGTTAGGTTTCCATACTACCCCTCAAATGGCCTTTGGTTTTCTCTGTCTCTCCCTGTATTCCATCCTTAGTCCTCTTTCTTCCCTTCCCCACCTCCCTGCTTGACATACCTCTTCTTTAACTGTGAGCCAAAATCAACTCTTCTCCCTTAACTTGCTTTTTGTATGATGTTTGGTTCCAGCAACAGAAAAGGTAACTACTACAAGCAATGGGTAGAATTATCAAGACTGTTGGTGGGCCATGGGTATAATCAGAGCAGGTTACCGGCTCACTAACAGAAAGATTTTCAGTGGGAAGCTAAGAGCAGGAAGTAGACATCAATGAGTTAGAGAATGTAAGCTAGTTAGAGGTAAAACCAAAGAGTGGTAACTAGTAGATCATTAGCCAATCAGAACTCTTGTCAGTGAGTGGAAGGAAAGAGGTAGGTCAGGGCACCAGACTACTACTTGTAAATTTAGAGTAATTCAATCTGTCCCATGAGCTTCTCTGGCTAGATAGCTTCTGTGGGCCAGAGGGTAAGGAAATCCTCCTTTGTTTTGCAAGCCCTTTCCACATTCCACTCTCACATCTTTGCATTATTTCCCGCCTTTTCAACACTATTGACTTTGTCATGTTCCCCGCTTTCAGCTGTTGTATCAGCAGATGATTCTATGATTCAGTGGTTCTCCAATGGTAGGCCCTACCTAGAAGCATTGAGACTGCATAAGAATCACTTAGAACTGTGCCCAGTTAATAAGACACACTCCCAACTTAGCTAGAATGGAAGTTTGAAAGTGGGGCACAACAGTCTCTCTGTCATGAAATGCTCGGAAGATTTGGATGTACCTTAATGTTTGATGGCCTCTGCCATAAGCCTCATTCTTGTTCAGAGCTTTCTTCCCAGCTCCATGTCTGATGTTTCCATGAACCAGATCTGGGTACCTGGGCATCATGTTATTCATCATCTTCTGCTATCATTCATCATTCATCATCATCTTCTTCCATCTTCCAAGCCTCCTGACTCCTTTCCTCTATTTCTTCACTGAAGCTTGTTTGAAATGTTTTCTTTACTCAAATTGGTCTGTGAGGTACAGTGGATTTTTCTGTGATTCTTTTATAATGAGATTAGTTGAAAAATAATTTTCACATTATGTATGTTGCTTGATTTATTCCTATTACTTGGGTTTCATCTTCTGTGAACCATCTTTGCCAAATATCTATTTGAGATCTTTGCATTTGTATTAGTTAATACTGGAGCTCCTATATATGGAAGTATGGATTCTGTTGATCATAGCTTTTAAAAATATTTTCTAGCATTGTTGGTAATTAAATTTTTGGCTTGTTATTTTGAGTGCTAACAGAATTTTGAAAGTACTGTAATCCAGCAAATTGCTGGTAAATGTGTGACTTTTCTCCAGCTTAGTAGTTGGTAAGTTAATATCCCTGCAGAAATGACACTAATTATATATTGTGTTTTCTAATACTTTTCCATGGCTTAAAATGCATTTAAATACTTTTCCTGGCTCTTTTTTGTTTATGATATAACACAACAAAAGGCTAGATAGACCCCCAAATACTTACTAGTTAATAACTCATCATTCTCTCTCTCTTTCTCTCTCTCTCTCTCTCTCTCTCTCTCTCTCTCTCTCTCTCTCTCTCTCTCTCTCTCCTAGAGTGTAAAGACTACAATGTGGTAGCAGCTGTAACACTAGCTGGTGAAGCTGGCTTGGGACAGTTATTTCACCCTTGAGCACTTTCACGCCTACCCCTATCTCTCAACAGTCACAGAGAGAATGAAACAATTTCAGAGTCCCACATATAGTACATGACCTATAATGACTTGCTGTATGGCATTTTAAAGTTTATTAGGTTCTATTTCTTTTACCATCAAGATGTACATACACCTGGTTTCATTCCAGTCTTGTGTGATTTTATAACTTACCATCATTTTCCAGGTCTAAGCAGTATCAGTGTGGTCTTTTCTTAGCAACTGTTGCTCAGAAATCACATATCAAACACTTGTATTACCTTCTTTGCTTGATGAGGCAGCAAGGGCTCTGGTAGATAGAATATAAGCCAATTCGCAAGAGGAAACAAGTGAGAATTTGAAAGGCTCCATTCTGAGCAGGTGGGCCTTGGCAGGTGAGCAGGATGCAAGTACTTTAATAAAGGAATGTGGTGATATTGTGTTCCCCAAAATATTGTGCATCCTAATTAACTTATCTGGGGTCAGAGAACAGAACAGCCACTAGGCATAGAGGCCAGAAAATGGTGTCACACACACCTTTAATCCTATCACTTGGGAGGCAGAGATCCATCCGGATCTCTGTGAGTTTAAAGCCACACCGGAAACAGCCAGGCATGGTCACTCATGCCTTTAATCCCAGGAAGTGATGGCAGAAAGCAGAAAGGTATATAAGGTGTGAAAACCAGGAACTAGCCTGGTTAAGCTTTTAGGCTTTGAGCAACACAGTTCAGCTGAGATTCTTTCCAGATGAGGACACAGAGGTTTCCAGTCTGAGGAAATAGGATCAGCTGAGAAACTGGCAAGGTGAGGTGGCTATGGCTTGTTCTGCTTCTCTGATCTTCCAGTATTCACCCCAATACCTGGCTCAGGTTTGATCTTATTAATAAGAACTTTTTAAGATTCCTGCTGCAAAGGAAGCTAGTATAGGGGGCAGATATGGCTGCTCGGGTGGGAGGAGAAAGAAACCACTGTGTCTTGAAGAGGTGTCACAGTACAGAGGACGTACAAGAAGAAAGCAAAAAGGCAGGATGCAGTGGAAAGAAGAGAAATAAGAAAGGGGAAGGCACAGTTCAGCCCACATAACTCCTGCCACCTCTTCGACAGGAGATGGATCCAGCTAAATCCCTCGGTCGGCTTTGCTCCCACACATCTAGAGCTATGAGAGACAGGAAGTAAAGCCTGTGACTCCCCATTTAGTCCTAAGCTCTGCTATGCTTAAGTTCTTAAACGCAGAGACTGACTCTTTTAATTGGCATGGTATATAAGATATTACATTTTGCTCTAAAACTTTACCACAGCTTCTCACTGGTTGCTAGCATACAATTTTCAATTTATACTTGCATGAATTTTTAAAATCGTTCGTATCGTTTTCAAATGTAGCTAGAGCCCCTTGACCATTATTTTAGCATGCTCAACCATTTTGGCCCTGCTCCACATTTGAAATTATGATTTGTGTTTCCCCAATAGATTTCCACTCAAATTACATCTCAACCCCTAACCTTTGCTTTACATTGCCTAAGAGCACAGAGAGTTACCTTCAGAGAGGGGAGATGCATATTGCATTGGAAAACAGTGCTGCTCCTGGTCTTTGAGTTTGTCTTAAGGCCGATTTATGCCACTTAAAGTAATCCAGTATGCTCTTTGGTAATTGAAATCCTTCCATTACCCTCACTCCATCCCATTTAAATATTTGTCTCTCAGATGCAATTACGTCAGGAGGTGAGCCAAATGGTTTGGGAAAGTCATAGGCATTTCCAACAAGAAAACTGTTGGCTCCCAACCAAAAAGTTGGCTCTGGATCGGAATTCTAAGCCCAAGTCTCTTCTCTGCGAGGCTCCTGTTTATGGACTGTAATCCACCTTTCTCATGATTCTTGAACAATGCTCAGGAAATGAGTCGCCTGATGTCCTTCGTGGCAACCACTAAAGAAAGATTACCTTGGGGTTCTTCATTGCTAGCTCATCTTTTGCTTATTGTCCTTGGTCCTCATCACATCATGGGAACAATATTAAATATTTGTATTTCTTTTAAACCCCATAAATACAATTTTAAATGGAATCCTGCCCCATAATCTCATGTTTGAAAAGATACATTTTAGGTATTAACAAAACTAGGAAACGTTCATACTAAAGCATCAATGATGCCTTTTGAATGTGCTTAGACAAATGTTTATTACACGTATAGAATACTGCTGGGCCGCAGCATGCTGCTTAAATAATTCAGTGGGATGCATAGAGAAAACTAACGATTCTGTATTCTAATAACTGTTTTATGGAGAGCTTTTCATTAAGCTCTCAAAAACTCACTAATAAATCCACATTCGGATGATGCAATGAAGTTATATTTAACTGTAGAACTCTCCTCACATGCCAGATTTCAAATCTGCTTCTAAGTAAATGTCCTTTTGAGGACTCATTATGACTATTCCCATCTTCCTTCAAAACAAACCCATTACTGATGCTCATTTCCTTTCTTCTCTTGGCTTCTGGCTGTCAGATTTACACCTCTTCCAAGCCATGCTGTCTTGGCCAACTGCAGCACTCTCACAGCCAAGAACAGGGCGCTCAAGCCCAAGCCCAGCAGACCCAGCCAGAGAGTACCAGCAACTGTTTTCTTATGGGGTCCTTTCAAGAAAGCACACCAAATGATGATACAGGTAAGATTTGTAATAGGCTAATATAGTGGGAAAATTATGGGTAATTGCTGATTTAATATATAATTAATAGCAGACCCACTGTATGGATTTTTAGATTTAGGCTCATACAGCTAAGTCATTCAGACATAGACCCTGATATAGCTCATACAGCTAAGTGATTCAGACATGGACCCCAATATGGCTCATACAGCTAAGTGATTCAGACATGGACCCCAATATGGCTCATACAGTTAAGTCATTCAGACATAGACCCCGATATGAAGATATATATGAAGACACTGTTGTAGTAATTACTGCAACTTCCGTGGCCAGGAAGACCAAGTTATAATTTCTCCTGAAATTTAGCTAATTTTGTGGGTACAAGTCCCCTCAAAAAGATGCACATTTATTGAAATACAAATTGTATTTCAAGCAGACAGTAGCAAAACACTTCAAACACCCTCAAGTAGGCATATATGCGCCAGGCAAGACTGAAAGACTGTGGTGCGAACGTGGAAGACATGGGGCGGTGCATGTGCTTTACTGATCCATCACTCCCCAACTTCTCACTAGTAGCAAGCGCGGCTGACTCCCTTCATGGCATTAACATCTATATTGAGATCACCCTTTGAAGTTTTGTGTCACCCTCTTTTATGTTGTGGGGAGTGGGTGGCTGCATGCCTGCTGTGGTTGTGGGGAGTGGGTGGCAGCATGCCTGCTGTGGTGTACGTGCGGAAGTCAGAACCCAACCTGCAGTTGCATTTGTCTCCTTCAGACTCGCTTCTCTCCCTCTGACATCTGACAAACTCCAGTTTTCAGGCTTGACTGTGCTTCCACTGAGCCACCTCACTAGCCCCAAAAAGCACCCTTAAGTCTTCGGAAAAAGAGATGCTTCCGTTTTTGTGGATATTACATTCTTGGGAACTCTGACATTTAAAAGCACAAAGTTCACTTCTTCTCAATAGAAAGCAGGTAACAAAATAGACGCTGTTACATTTAATAGGTCTTCCTGATGTACGCTTTGCTACAGTTCTAAAACAATTGTATGGAGAACTGTAAAAATAAAGAATTCATAAGTTTTGAGTCCTGTGGTGGCCTGGGAAGAATGGTGGAATCTCCTGATATCCCACTCTCCAAGCCTGGGATATGAAGCATTCTTTTTGTCTAGTGTATCCACTATATATATATATATACTACCTGCCTATTAATTAGTAATCAACCCAGTCATCAACTAGGAAAATAGCAGTTGTTCAAACAACTTTTACCATACTTAATCATAAACCCGAAATACAAAAGCTATGATCACAGTAACTTGGGATGTTGTGTGAGTTTTATCATGCTGTGAACAATGAACACCTGACAACAACTTAAGGAAAATATGACAAAGACCAGAAGCAAGTGACTGTAGCAGGAATCTTAAATGGTCTTATTAATAAAAATCAAACCCGGTGCCAGTTATTGGGGTGAATGCTGGAAGATCAGAGAAGCAGAACAAGCCACAGCTTCCTCACCTTGCCAATTCCTCAGCTGATCCTGTTTCCTCAGACTGGAAGCCTCTATGTCCTCATCCAAATGGATCTCAGCTGAACTTCTTCTCAAAAGCCTGAAAGCTTAACCAGCCAAATGCTTCTAGTTCCTGGTCTTCACGCCTTATATACCTTTCTGCTTTCTGCCATCACTCCCTGGGATCAAAGGCTCACTTCCTGGGATTAAAGGTGTGAGTCACCATGCCTGGCTGTTTCCAATGTGGCCTTGAACTCACAGAGATCCAGAGGGATTTCTGCTTCTGGAATGCTAGGATTAAAGGTGTGAGTGCCACCATCTTCTAGCCTCTGTATCTAGTGGCTGTTCTGTTCTTTGACCCCAGATAAGCTTATTAGGGTGCACAATATTTTGGGAAACACAATACCACCACATTTCCCCTTTTTTTGTCTAAAATTTTTTAAAAAAGCTTATAACTAATACAAGAAAAACTATATCCAATAAATATATACAATATGTACAGTCAAGAAATACATTAATGATGTCTAGTCCATTAACATTTGACAGATTCAGACAAAAAACTCCATTATATATATTAACAATGTCCAGTCCAGTAGCATTTGATAAACTCAGACAAAAAATTTCATTACTTATCCTATTTAAAACAAGTAGTTCCTTTATAAAAGTAGATTCAATTGACCTTTTTATCTTATCACATTCATATTCTCTTTTTTCTTTTTCTTTCTCTTTTTCTTTTTTTTAAACAAAAACTCTGAATCTAATCTCCTTGTTCAGCTTTTTTCCTGACTATTAACAATTAACAACTTGTAACCAACCATCATAAACAATGACAATATCCATAACTCATTAAACAACAAAAAAGCACCCACCCCACCTCTTGGGAATGTGGGCATCGTGTTCTTAAAATTACTTCCTGCTTTCTGGGGGTGAAGACATCTTTAGTAGATCCTGAAAAGAAATTTTTGGGGTTAATTGTCAAGTCCTGTATCATTTGTCCAGTTGCTGCATAATGAGAAAGTGCAGGGCTTGTTTCAAGTCCTTGTTCAAGTAGTCTGTCAGGCTGGATCATCTCAGCTAGTCAGCTAGCCATCTCAAAATTGTCCTGAGCAGTTTGTAGTCCAAAGTCGATCTTTTAGTGGTGTTAATCAGCTTAATGGCTTTATCATAGTCCATGTGGAATCATGTTGTGGGGTCCTGTCATCCTTTTGAAGAGTTCAAAGTTGCTGTTAGGTGTGATCATGGTTCCCTGCAGTTGTTTTTTTGTTTGTTTGTTTGTTTTGGGGGGGTTTTGGGGGGGGTTGTTTGTTTGTTTGTTTGTTCGTGCCTCCTCTGTGGTTTGGAGCAATCACAGTCTGATAAATGTCTGTCTCTTGGAACCATGAACATTCTTTCCTAGAAGAGAAAACCTTCACAGCAATTTCTCCCCACCATTTGTCTTGCTAAACTTTTCCAAACTGACCTTTGCCAAAACTTTCTTGAAACAGGATGGTCCTGGCAATTGTTCTCTGAACAAGTAGCAGTAAACCCTTCCTCCCAGGTAGCAGCATCAACACAGTCACCAACATAATGAGAAGCAGCCTGCAACTCGGAGCAGCAGCTGCTGCCTCCATGGTCCCACTGCCACCATTTGTAGCTGGGCCCCAGCCAAAGCTTCTCCTTAGCAAGCCTCCTAGGCCGGCCTCAAACTTGGGATCCTCCCGCCTCTGCTTCCTTCAGTAAATCCAACCAGTGTGCTCCACCAAAACCGGCTGAGTGTAACTTGGGTCTGAGCTGCGGCCCGCAAGGCCACAGGCAAGCGGCTTTTTCGTGAATTCGTACCACGAACATTGGTGCCAGATGTAGCAGGAATCTTAAATGGTCTTATTAATAAAATCAAACCTGGTGCCAGTTATTGTGGTGAATGCTGGATGATCAGAGGAGCAGAACAAGCCACAGCTACCTCACTTTGCCAATTCCTCAGCTGATCCTGTTTCCTCAGACTGGAAGCCTCTATGTCCTCATCCAAATGGATCTCAGCTGAACTGCTGCTAAAAGCCTAAAAGCTTAACCAGCCAAATGCTTCTACTTTCTGGTCTTCACGCCTTATATATCTTCCTGCTTTCTGCCATCACTTCCTGGGATTAAAGGCATGTGTCACCATGCCTGGCCATTTCCAATGTGGCCTTGAACTCACAGAGATCCAGAGGGATTTCTGCTTCTGGAATGCTAGGATTAAAGGTGTGAGTACCACCATTTTCTAGCCTCTGTGTCTAGTGGCTATTCTGTTCTTTGACCCCCAGATAAGTTTATTAGTGTGTACAATATTTGGGGGAACACAATACTACCACAAGTGACCTCCAAAGACCTTCTTTGTCCAGCTAGGGCTCAACCCCTGATGTTTCTGTGATCTCCAAAAATATTACCAACAACTGGTCACTAAGCATTCAACATGTGAGGTCATGAGAGACATTCCATATCCCATCCGTAACAAATCTTCCAAGAAGAGGCATATGTATTTCCTTAAAGAGTCATCTAACGCCATCACAAGAAGAGGTAAGAAGAAGAAAATAACATATTCTGAGAGAGACAGAGTGAGTGAGAGAAGAGCTTTAAATTTGATCACAACATGAATGAGCACAGAAATTTCATTCCAAAATTCTAAATTCTAATACCTTGTGCTCTTGAGCAAATGTCTCAGCTGCAAGTTGGAATCTAAATATGCATTTCTTTCAGAATCCACATTCTGTAATTCAGTTTGAAAGTAGAAAATGTGATGGCTTGGATAGCAAGTACCCCCCACAAAAGGTCTGCGAGTTATTGGTCCCCAGCAGGTGGATCAGATCATCAAGGAGTAATTTAAATTGTGAAGCTCTGACCTAAATAGCAGTTCATCAACTCACTGATTCACAATTTGATGGCATTATTAGATGTGCTGGACAAGGTCGGAGGTCGGGGCTAGGAGGGAGCCGGAAGTCAGAAGTAAGTCTTTTTGGACCCCTCCCCCTGCCCCTGCAAGGAAGTTCATTCCAAAAGCAATTACGGCACATTCTTACAATTAAAAAAAAAAAATCCCAGCACCACAAGAAGATAAAAATAATTTAAATTCCTCACTTTAGATGAATACTTGTTCTGTGAAGTATGGAATGATTTAAACCTCAGTTCCCAGAATGATGAACGGCCCTCCTCTTCTCTTTGGCAGCTTTAGGTAGAGAATGAAACACTGTGTTTGATCATTACACATGAGTATTATTTATTAAGAAAACCCACAATTTTTTCCTCTTTTTGTGTCTTCTCATTCCAAGGCTGATCTCTGACTCTGAGGTGGGAGTTTTGTAATCTCCCTCAACAGAAATTGCTCCAGGGAATATTTGGAAAGGTCATTGGGGAAATTGACGCTTTTTCAGAAAGCCAAACAACAATGAAAACATGAAGTTGAACTATTCAGGTAGAAACAGGAAACCCATGGGACCACGCTTCAGAGGAAAATTCTAATGTAGATGTGAAGAGCTGAAAGAATCTTTGGGTACACATAGAAGCTGCATTTGAATCAGGTCTCTATCATTCAGGTACCCTGGACTGTCAGGTGCAAAACAATGTCATTTCATGAGCTTTGTCTGGGCCCCTGTCATGGTACTATAAGGGAGATGACTACATTGCAAATACTGCACTCATCACTCACTCATTCATCCATTTATCTTTTCATTACTTGAGCTAGTCCTGTGTCAGGCCCTGTGGTCTGTGCCTCAGATACAGAAATGGATACAAGATAGTTTCATCACTAGTGAGTGTCCAACCCAGACCAGAAATCATGTGTCAGTAATTATAGTACAGAGAGGTGGTTCCCAACAATAAAGCTATAGAAAGATTAAAGAGCAGAAAGGATAATCACAATTCAACTTAGAAGGAAATTTTTGAGTCAAATACTGAAGACTGAGTTAGGATGAACAGGTTGGTCTAGTCAGGCAAGATGAGGATTACAAATAGGAGAGATTCAGGCACAAGAGACTGTTATAACACTCATTATGGCTGTGTTGGTGACCTTTTTAAATCAAATATTTGGTGACCAAAATACCTGGCAAAGACAACTTCAGGGAGGAAAGGTATATTTTGACTCAGTTTCAGACTACCTTAGACCATCAACAGCAGGGAAGGCGTAGTGGAGTTCATGGCAGTGGGAATGTCTGGTAAAGACCCTTCACATCATGGTGGGACATGAATCACACAGCCAGATTGGAATAGGGCTTGACTATAAACTTCAAAAGCCCACCCTTAGTGACCCACTTCTGCTCGCAAGGACCAACATTTTAAAGGGTCTACACCCTCCCCAAACAGGGGATATTTCAGATTCAGATTGTAATACCATATCATAGAATACAGTAGAGTCTGCTGAAGTGTGTTTGCAAAAGGAGGGTTTCCACTGGGACTGGGCTCCACAACTCTGCATTTTAATTGATTGTGGTTTTCTGTAGTGGTCTCCATCTGTTGCAAAG